AATGTAAGACATATAGTTTGTGACATTAGATTATAGGCTAAAAAATAAGAAAGCTATGATTATGTTCTGCAGCTCCCTTTGGAAAACATTCAGAATTGTGCTATGTAGTGTCCAGCTTCTCTCTTCACAAAACCTCGGCAATATTACGAACCTTGCAGTTTTAATTTATTGGGCAAAAGAGGTTGTTAGGTGGAATATTTATTGAAATTGGCCTGACGTTTCGACAGGATCGTCGTTCTCAGAGGTTAGTCCACCACCGGATGAGCGGAACGATGCCACTCGTCAGATGTATTATATATAGTTACTAAGTCATAAATAAATATTCCACCCAACAATCTCTTTGGCTCAATAAATTAAAACTGCAAAGTTCGTGATGTGCCATGAACCTCTTTTACTTCGGGTAATGAGCGCAGCGCCAGACGTTATTCATTATGGGTCATGCCACTGCCAAGCTGTGAAATGGTCTTTGAAAGCTCCGGAAATTCTGGACTGCATTAAATGCAAGTATGTGTTTACTTCTAAAAGTTTATTTTTCTAGCAGACGAACAGTTGCTGTGTTGAATTTTTTGAACAGCTTTGGTGTTGCGACTGCACTCACAATTTTTCTAGGCCTTCACTGCATAATAATCGTTTTTATTTTCAACAGCTGTTCGATATGTAGGAAGAAATCAAACCACCATTGCATCGTCAGCAGAGACCGTTTTACACTTCTACAGGTATGCTGAAAAAACCTCGCTTCTAAACATCATCTCTTTCCCTTGTGCTAAGGGTTAAGAGTGGTCTCACAAGCTTTTCTGTCAGTCATTGACTTTAGTACTAGAAATTACAGAATTACAAATACAGGGGGCCAATGAAAATACACTTTCTTCCTTGACTTTCGAGGCGCTATAGGTTACACTTTAATGAATTCTGATCGGACCTTTTCACTGCTATAGACCACCGCCATCGAGAGATTCTGCCACGCAACCATGGTTCGGTGCCTGAGTTCAGCGAGATCGTTGATTTCTCCGCCACTGTAGACCACCCTATTGAACTCCGCCCGAACCAGGTAATTGATGGGGTTCAGGTTAGGTGACCCGCTTAGATATTCCGTCTTCTTCAGGTACTCAACGCCCTTCCATTCCAAGTAGGCGAGAGTTTTTCCAACGCCCTTCTATTCCACGTGCTGCACCCTAACCGCCAGCGCTCACTTTCAGTCCGGAGTCCACGAAGAATATCGTCTTCACATTCCAGGAACTTCCGGTCCAACCAACCCGCGCCTTGGCGACTGCGGTGAAGATGATATCCTGGACCGTAGCGACGTTGTCGGAGCTGCTCGATGTTGGAGGTCTTTCAGATCAAGAGTACTGGTCTCCAGGTAGCTATCCATGGGTGACTCCACACTAGAAGTTTCGCAGCTGTTTGGAGGTGACATGAATTCCAAAGGTCTTCTCCAGTCAGGCTGCGACTGGAGATGACTTCATATTTTGGTGTACATGAAGGTGATGGGCGAGAGCCAGCTCCTGCTTATAGAGGAACATCTTGGGTATCTTCCGCCCTGGTACTCGTATCCACGTCCTCTGTCTGGGCTGCGAAAACTTTGCTGATATGTACAGTCCTCATCATTACGTACTGTCGGGGCGGCACAGCCGCGCTGCAATGTGACAGCGGCTGCGGCTCGGTGACGGTGAATCAGCTGATTTCGATGGAATTCGGCTGCAAATTCCCACTTTTTCAGCTCTTCAAGCTTCTAAAGTGGAAGGTGAGTTATTTGACAAATTGTACTGACTCTGAATGAATCTGAAAGAATGTAAGCCATTTGAATAAATGCCTGAAATAAGGCAAAATACAAGGAAAAGAGCATAATAATCGACATAAAAATAAAGGAAATCAGAGCCAGTACAATTCAAAATTGGTCAGAATAACTCACCTTCCACTTTAGAAGCTTGAAGAGCTAAAAAGTGGGAATTTGCACAGTTGCCGAATTTCATGGAAATCAGACTGATTCACCGTCACCAATGTCCGGCGCTGTCCGCATTCACAGTGGGTGGGCATCCACGACAGTACGCAATGATGAGGGGGAAGCAAGCAAGCCAAGGCGACGCGCGGTAAAAGCACTACTACTCTGTGCAGGGGATTATTGGTCGAACTAGGTATTTGGGTATTGGATCGTCTCACTCATCGCCCCAATCACCCACCCCACTCAGAGACAGATGACGACGTTGACGACACGCGATGCTATTTGCCGTCTTGCTCGTATTTCTTCTCTCTCTTACACTATCTCTTATAACACTAAACACCTGTTCCTACAGTCACGTCCCCTTTTTGACTTTTAAAAATTTCCGCTTTCCAAGCTGCACTAGTCGCGCCGCCTATCCAAGGAACTCACTTCGCGCAAGCACGCTGGTCGCTTGCGCGAATGAACGTGGCCGTGTTAGCGGGCTAGAGTCACATTTTCTGATTGGCGTCAACAAGACGGGATTGCGCCTGGAAGTGATGGGGTCAAAAACCAATCGTTTGATCAGCGGCGCATCAAGTAGCCTACGCAGGGGCGGCTTCAGTAGTGAGAATTTTTTGGGTTCCTGCGCAGTACTAGCTGGCTTTGGACGGGACCAATTGTCTGAGCGGAACAATCGTCTGTATCGTTACTCTTTGAAGTCTGCATCAGTGTTGATAGAGCGCACCGATAGTTTGGGTTTTTCACACCTTGTTGTAAGAACATCCGGTGCACGTAATTTGTCGTTTCGTAAGTGTGGGCTCACACGTGCGGTGAGCAGGCAGATAAGTCGCAGGGATTTACTGAAAAGAAAAGCCGCTAGCAGTGTGTAAAGCAGATGTGTGTGGAAGTAACCGTTTTCTTGTTTTGTTAATATAGCTGACGGGGTGGCGCTAGGTTGCTTGGCATGCTGGCAGTGAAACCAAATTTTGCATTAGAAGCTTGAAAACGGAAGATGTACGTCATTTACGATGGAGTACCGGTTTTCATCTACTTGGATCCTGGTCTTTACAGAGTTAGAGGAAAATGGATCCGCAGCTTCCGTGCCACGTTCTCCATTCAACGGTGTACTACAGGGCTAATGATGTCTGAGTGTCGCCTCTATACTCCGTCCGCGTGCTGTACGGCCAGCCAGAGTATAGTCATGGCCGAACTCGCAACTTGTCTACACTCTCTCATTTCTCTGTACTTTACCTCGTGCTCCTTCGTTGGACCTTGACAGACGCAAGTGCTGCACATTGAGGATTGAGAGGACGCACTATTGAGACGAGTATAACTACTCTACATCCCGATCGCGTGCACTTTTGAGGTGACAACGCGGTACTCTACTGCAGCGGACCCACACCGCCTCGCACATGGGAACTACTCTAGTCGGAGGTGAGGGTAGAATTGCTTTCAAAAACGGCCCACTTCATGCGCAAAACTCTATCAGAGTGAGCTAACTTTTTTATACTCTGAGACAATCCCCCTGAAGCGATTAGGCTACGAAAATTGTAGTTCGCAATCAGGGAATACGACCTTGCCCAGCTAATTCGACGTGCTTGGAGCTTGTCACTTTCACCCACTGAAATCCCACTTGCATCCCTTAGATACCAAGAATTTTATGTTGAGGTTTACTTCTCCTTTATCGCAGCCGTGTAGAAGACAGAAATGAGGAGCTCCTCAAAATGATCAACGGGTGCTCTAGAGTTCTGGGATGAGTGCCTTACATATGGGGGATTGTTCAGTAGCCTAAAAGGAAGATCGAAATGTGTTTAAAATCTTTTTTCAACTTCCTCTTCAACCTAATATAAGTTTGAACGGATCGCTTGGAAGCAAAATAACATACAGAATAGATATTACATTCATTCGTGCCACGCTGTAGCCAACGAATTTTTCTTTAGGGTGAGGATTACTTGACCACGTACACGTTCAACACTAATCAAGCTAAGCATAAGTTCTGCCGCATTTGTGGAGTGCAGTCGTTCTACGTCCCACGGTCGAATCCAGATAGCATTGGTAAGTTATACTAGTTACTGACATTAACGGTTGACACAGAGCTGTCGTGACGAAAAAAATTGTGCACAATTACACTCGTTATCCCTAATAAGTGTAGGCGTGGTATTTGAACATGGTGAAAAACTGGTTACTTGTAATATATTTCAGTTTGAGACAACTGTCATCTTTTCTGTGTTAGACAGAGACACGACCACTATTGTGTCAAAATGAAAAGAACTCTCCAAAGCACAGTAGGAGCTTCGTTTAGCTGGAGTACGCAGCCACGCCTACCACATCTCAGGGATTTCAAGTACATGTTGTCTCTTCGCTGCAGACTTTGGGACGTGTGAGAGTCGCGGTTTAGCTCAGCGCCAGCCCGTTTTCCACCAGCCTTGTCCCTTGTCCGCTTCAACAATTAGTGAAGACCTTACCGGACCCACGCTAACATGAAAATTATCTACTAGGTCATCTCATTCAAAAAAGCCTAAGATTTTATCCATATAAAACAAAGAGGAAAATAGATACAAAAGTAATATTTTGGCTTAGAGTTACACTGCGAAGCATAATCATAGTTCCACCCATGAATCTCACAAAATCCCGTCTTACACGACGTTTTCAAAAATGCCCCATACAGAAAATGTGGTAATTACCAATACCAATTCGCATGCCAACACCAAACTCTAGCTTGAAAAAACAATTTTTTTTCGTCAATTTTTTCAAAAATGGACGTTCTGACAACGAAGCAAAAATATAGTTCCACCCCATATTTTCCGGCTGCATCTCATTTTTGTTCGGTGAAACTTCTCATCATTATGACTTCTTGCCTCTTCTAGGCTATGGGTGTCGAACCGTCGAATGGCGCGGATGCGGGCCGCACTCATCATGCTATCAACGATTTTTTCCAAGGGACCCACAGGATATTGAGCTGAGAAGAGCTCTGGACATCCTCCTTTGCTGCCGATCGGAATAACCGCCGTATCCTTGGAAAGCATCCAACTCTGCAGTGTCGTGTCGGGAAATCAAGACATCTTCGAGGTTAATGTCTCGGAGAATACTGTAGGCGTCTCTTGAAAAACTCCCGAGTTCACCCATAGGAGGAATATGAGTTACGTACTGTTTCTAACGAAAAACCATCGCGAAAACCTAATTGGCTTTGCTCGAAGATGTTGCCGAACCCAATGAAGTGAGGTTGGCTTTTGGCTGCGGTGCCCTACTGCTTGTCTATAGTGTTTTCTCAGTTTTTTTTTTCTCGCGGTCGTGTTTTCTGATGAGAAAAAATTCAACTGCGACGGCTCCGACGAAAACCGATTCCGCTGGCACGACCTGAGGGAAGACAAGTTTCATTTTTCCGGGCGGAACTTCAGTGGATGTGGTCTCATGGTCTGGGCTGCCATCGCATGAATGGAACGTCTGAAACTGCGCTCCGTATGAAAAAAATGATTTCTTCCGTCATCTAAAAGTCATGCGACGACGTCTCCTTGCTTTCTGACGTAGAAATCAGCAAGAAAGTCCCGTTTTCATGCAGGATAATGCACCAGTTTCATGACAGTCGAAGCACTCGAGCGTGATTCAGTTGTCACCAAACCGCTCTTTTGCCCTAGCCAGCGAGTAGCCCCGACTAAAACCCAATCGAGGATATGAGGGGCTTCATGGTGCGTATGATCCATGAGAGTAATGCACAATTCCACAAGGTCCGTGAGCTTAGGGAGTAATCATTGGGGCAGTCGGCCGAAAGCATGGGCAACCGTATTTTCCAACTTAATTGGAGAAATAGAGTTCCATAGATTACTGGATCAAAATTTATTCATTTTATTGTACATTTGTTGTTGGAATTGGCATGCGAATTGGTATTGGTAATTACCACATTTTCTGTATGGGGGCATGTTGGAAAACTTCGTGTAAGACAGGATTTTGTGGAATTCATGGGTGGAACTATGATTATGCTTCGCAGTGTAGGTACACCCCTCCCACCAATGACCCGCTCCCAGTACCCCGGAATCGTTTCGGTTTTTCAACAAGTGCGAGTAAATTGCTGTTGCTGCCAATTTCGGCGAATGACAAAACATTGTAGCGTTTGCCGTCGGAGAGTACCCTCGACTGACCAGAACAGTTGGAATCGAACGGCTTTATGTTGCGAATGGGGCGATTGAACCCAGGTCTCAGTATTGTTTGTGTCCCAGCACTGCCCTACAATACAGTTACTCGGGTCTGGCACTATGACGAACAACGGTGGCCGCTATGGGCTTAGTGACCCTTAACTCCTAACATCCCTATCACTGTACATATCGATCTTTTCCTCTCACTCACCAATAATGCTCTCTTCACGGCTTCTATCACTATATAACTTTAGGACCGAGGTCCTACTGTCACTGCCAGCACGAATTCCCTGACGCACACACACACGCACGCATCGGATTAGAATATAGTAGGAGGTCTTGGAAGTGGCATTTCGTGATAACAAGTATATGCGCCTGCGATTACGAGTAGAAGAAAAATGGTTCAAAAAAATGCTCTGAGCTGCAAGCAATGAACAGTGACTTAGAGGAGGGGGTGTATTTGATGGTCAAGACTTTTTCGAGTGAGTGTAACAGGTCCTCATGACAAAAATTAGAACCAGTGCGAAGAGTAGAACTGATTCAAGTTCAATTCACTTTCTCCGTTTTTTAGGTATTATGCCTCATTGCATTGACTCTCCCACGATAAAAGAGCTGCGCTTCAGTGAGTTCGATGGAAGGAACTGGGAAGAAGAAATGAAGAGGAAAAGCTCCAAAGGCACTTTAAGAATGCTACTGAAGGTTCCGGAGGTTTATACTATTAGGTTTTAAGAAAAAAGTTACGGTCTAGAAACAAATTGTTCCAAACTGTTTGTCTGTCAAACTTCTCAATGATTCGCCTCTCAACTTCTGAATCGTTTATGAAGGTTTCATCAGATATGATAATGACTCCTTGCAAACTTTCAAAGGATATAGGGATTCACGATAGGTCATTCTATTTCTCTTCTGTCCTGTTTCTCTTTCTGCCTCACTCATTCACAGTTAAGCAACGTCGTCCATGGTAAAAACCTTCTACTGCCGATTTCAAACCAGCCTTCTGGGGGGGAAGCCGAGGCCGCCATCTGTACGTTGGTAGAATTCTAGAATGCTATATTCAATCTATTTGAAGACTGTCAGCATCGTCATGATCTCACTTATCGCGGGAGATTTCCATGACGACTACAGCATGAGTCTCATCAGTCTGATAGGTTGAATCGGATGACTCCAAACGAGTCCATTCTTCTTCGTGCACAACGGAAGGACAGTAGGCAAGCCTTGGGCTTGGTAGACGGGGTTGTGTGTCATTCTTGGAAGCAGCGGCACGATTGCTGGAGGGGGGGGTGTGTTGTTGCCAGTACCAGTGGTGGAGAGAAGTTGGCCACGCACTCAAAGAGCCTGAGCAGTTTGCCCAAGGGCCTTCATTTAGCTTTCCCACCCATAACACTGGTAGAGATAGCCCGCCTCCAGCAATCGTGCCCACTGCCTTTGAATCATGCCAGCACTCTCCATACGGTTCTGCGGACAAAACACAACAATAATGATTAATTCTCGAGCTGGCCTGGACCATGCGTTGAATTCTTCTCGAAACCTAGATTCCATCATTCTCCACTAGATGGTACTCCTTCAATCGATGTCAATCTTAAGAAACAAGATCGACTCGTTTTGTTTATAAGTAGCGCTGGATTTCTGGAACAGCGCGCCGTGAAAAAGCCCAGTAGTCGAACTTGAGTTGATACTGTAGGTGGACGCCCCCTTGTAGAAGCTTCATCCTTGTGATGCCTTCTCCCAATATTCTGGATGAAATTTCGCGCAGAACGTCGCAAGACTTTTCTTTCAGATTGACTTCTCTTTCCCGCATCTAAATGCCTCTTCTGTTTTTATTTGTCCGCTTTGAATCATTGTCCGCTACTGTTTCTCCCACTACTTTGGAAGTTGTTGGAGTGCAGATCAGTTTTATTGTTATTATTGTTTTTATGCTGATTTTGTCTTGCTTGTTGTCTGTCTTGACACAAAATGAATTCTTCACATTCACCAAGATCTGAAAGAAAGGTGACAAATTACAGCAATAACACTTCCATCAAACGCACAACAAATCAAAATATGATTCAATACGTGAGCAACTTTATTTGGACACGATTTCTATCGGAAGCACTTCATAGTTAAGGCTGCGTTTATACTTTGCGGCAGCGAACGCTAGCGCTAGCGTTAGAGGTTCAGATTGAAGGGTAAGGAATGCGGGAGGGGGATGAAGGGGTTCTCCACAATAAGGGGGAAATTTGGGAATGGGTTATCTAACCAGGGAAGGTCAACGGGTCAGTCCGGCCATTCGCAATAAGGTGCACATCGTGATACGCGCTTTAAGAGGATGAGCTCGCATCCACCTTCAGAATTTGCGAGACGGTTCTCTGAATGAGGTTTCCCTCATAGTTTTTCCTTGAAGGAGCACTTGCAACCAAAAGCCAGCACCCGCTGGCGCCGGAGGACCAGCAGTTGTTGCGTTCGAAGTTAATTTCGAGCAAATGGGTGTAATATACGTGTCCAGAATAACGCCCAGGAGTGGCAATCTGGCGAAACCTGGAATTTTGTCTCAACTTCGTAAGAAGTTTGTTTGGGTTAGTTACTCCGTTCAGAGAACCGTTTCGCAAATTTAGAAGGTAGATTTGAGTTCATCGTCTCAAGACGCGTACAACGGATGTACACCTCATTGCAAATGGTCGGACCGACCTGAAGACTTTCCTTGGTAAGTGCTGGGATGTCCCGCAACTCATAGTATCTGAATGCTTAGCAGCAGTAAGAACCTCAAAAAATCTGTCCCTTTCTGCATGTTTTCAAGCACTTTATACTCTAGATCTTTCACACGTTCTCCAGAGAGTGGAAAGAGGTACAAGCGAGTAAACATCGTATAGGAACGGTAACAATATACTGTAAACTCCATTCAAGTCGCCTGGTGAATCGCTCTTCTCTAAGTGATTGGAAAAGGTAGTAACAACTTATAATAGCACCTGCGAAAAGGGACCTTCCATAAATAACTTAAGGCTGAACAATGCAAGTGTTTCTGAGGTCATTTCTTTTTCTTCATTCCCAGGAACGAAGATCCGGCTATTGCTCCGGCCATTGCTCCTAAATCGTTCTGAATGTAACTCTGAAAAAGACATCACAAATCAAGTCTTCGAGCCAGAATTTCAACAACTACAACTTTAGCTTTAGCTTGGGAGATGTTCTTTTTCTCTCCTACTGAAAACGGATTTTGGTGCCTAAATGGCGTTCAACCGGATTGCCAGAATATTTTGCACCATTTGATTCAAAATGAATTTACCTTCAGCCCCAGCTACCTGGGATATTAAATCCCACATATTACATCCGCATATTCCTGACATCATTGGATATTGTTGAGTCTGGTATAATGGAGCTACTGGAACTGGAACTGGGACTGGGACCGGTACAATAACTTGCTGCACTTGTTGCTGATAGTTGTATTTGTAGTTGTGCCATAACCATAACCATAACCGACAACACATTTTGGGGATATTCCCAACAAGAAGTGAACAAACTAGCAAAATTCGCATCCTGAAATGAAAAGTGAGTTTTGGCGCTAATGTAGTTTGGAAGAAAGAAGGGGTCAACATAAATTTGTCTGCTCTTTCAGGTAATTTTAGGTAATGCGACGCCGACTTTGGTTGTCTTCGCTACACTGAGCTAAAATTTTCAAGGAACATTGACGCGCCGCTGCGTGGTCCAGGAACTAAGACTCAGATCCCTATTCTCGGGTTCTACTTATCGGACCACATTCAATTCCAGTGTGTTTGCTTCTGATCAAGCATAGCTAGGAGAAACACAACGAAAAGGAGACTCAAAGTTCATCCCCTCAAACCCTATTCATATCAATGTGCATAATGTGCATCAAAATAAGGTATTGTGGAAAATCTAAGCAAACTCATAGAAGTATGGTAAAACTTAAACTGTTAATAATGAAATGAGAAACGAGGATAACTCGCCCCAGAGACAATACTGTTCTTTTTGTTCAGAGGGTGTGCGATAGTTAAACCAGGAACGAAGTGAACATATTCCATAATGAGTAGAATTAATAGAAGAATTGTTCAGTGGTGAGTCATCAAAATTCATCGAACTTAAGGAAACGTGAGTGAATTCACCGAACTGTTCCCATATCTAACATTGAACTTTGAACGTCGCAATGAGAGGCATCGGCTCAATATTAGGTCACGTTCGCAAGGGATCGGTCACAGACGCTAAGTTGTGTCCTAGAATTCGAGATCAGACTCACATGGAAATAAGAGACGACTTACGGATTCCGATCGACCTTCTTAATTTGCTGAAACTACATACTTCTCAAACGACGCTTAAAAATATTCTTTGCTGATAATTCGTATATTGCTCACGAACACTTCATCTTGCTCTCACATTTCCCCTTCATTTAGTATGTTATTTTAGCGAAAGGCTGCGTTTATACTTTGCGGCAGCGTAGCGTAGCGCTTCCAGCGTACGCCAGCGGCAGTGCCGAAGAGAGGATGCATATCGATCTAGCTTCACCAGCGTTTCTCCAGCGTTTTCCCAGCGCTTCCAGCGACGGGGCTAGAGAGGGGCTAGAGAGCACTGGACGGAGGAGAGTACAAAGTACTCTCCTCCGTTCAGTGCTCTCTAGCCCCGCTAGCGCTTGCAGCGACGGGGCTAGAGAGGGGCTAGAGAGCACTGAACGGAGGAGAGTACTTTGTACTCTCCTCCGTCCAGTGCTCTCTAGCCCCTCTCTAGCCCCGTCGCTGCAAGCGCTGGGAAAACGCTGGAGAAACGCTGGTGAAGCTAGATCGATAGCTATGCTTCCCGTGCCCTCGCTACGCCAGCGTGCCGCTGGTGACGCTGGTGAAGCTAGATCGATATGCATCCTCTCTTCGCACTGCCCTGGCGTACGCTGGAAGCGCCTACGCTACGCTGCTCGCAAAGTATAAACGCAGCCAAACAGTGTGAGAAACAGGGACAGATAGCCTGTGGCTCTCAGCAAGGAAGGCCAAGAATTGCTACCTGTCTTGACAGACGCTATCAAAGACAAGATTCACGACTGCAGGTACAAGGTTGTAATGGCGATCAAACTGAAGATAGTTGCTTGATCACCTAGTGACGTCCTGCGATGCAAAACCGTTGTAGCATTATGAGAGAAGACCTCCTGTTCATTCCTGCATAGGTGGAAAAGCGAGTTGCGAAGAAGCACAAGGACAGACCCTTCGCGAACATCGCAGCGATCCCTGACAAATGTGAGTGCAATGCCGTTCGTCCTGGGGCGCAATTGCTGAGTTGCGTTTTGGAGGCTAGTGAGTGCATCAACGCAGTCGTAGTTGTCATCCACATTTAAAGACAGTATCCACGCTCAAGCAATTCGTGGACGCTCTTCCTTGTAGAGTAGGTGATTTCTAGTCTTAAACGTGTCCCACTTCCGCGGCTTGGCATTGAGAAATGAAGGCGCTGTGGCTCTCACAAGTAGCAGTTTCTATGCATCTCCAGTTTTCGCTCCCACCGAAGCTCAAAGTCACGGCTCAGTTTTTACAAAGCGTTTCTCGTTTTTTTTTCGCTGCTAGATGGTATTTTGTTGCATGCCGCGAAAACATGATTAGTGAGCTAGAGGCGGTAGGATATCGCTTTGCTAGCCCAAAGAGAGCAAACTCCTCCAGCAAAGCTGCCACGTCTGTAATTATGGTGTCCTCCATTATCTCTTTTCCGCTTTTTTTTCACTGGCGAGCATTTAGTGAGTGGTATGATCACAGGTATTCTTCTCTATCCGCACTCGATTCCGAGGTTTGTCTCCAACTCTATGATGTTTGCTCTTGATGTGTAGACGATCCTTGTCCTGAACTGAACGTATCACAGCTGTGTGTATACTCCTTCATGTGAATACTAGTCTAAATTTTCTCCTACATAAACGAAGGCAGGTTATAGTGGTCGTTATCTGGTGAGTGACATTCCTTGCGCAGATCAGTAGAGGGAATCAGAAGAACTTTTGAGTTGACATGAACGTCGTGGACTCATGTTATCGGAAGGCATTTTTTGAAGGCACACTTTCAACGATACAGCTTACATCTCCAGTGAAAAAAACCAAGGAAAAATCAGTGAGCAATTACCCGACTGTTACGACAATTCTACTTCCAGATAACGACATCTGCTTTCGAACGGATTGTGGGTGTGAATAGAGATTAGAGTTAAAAAGGTAGGCAATGCATCCTTCGATTAGCCAATTGTGTGCGATAAAGTGCTAAAGTAGTACCTGAATCACTACTTTGTTACTATGTATTTGGCTCTAGATGGCCACTTTTCGAAATAGCGCTACCTACTTATCAAGCTGCATAAATTAGCGGAGCTACCCGCAGTATAACTCAGCTTGAATATAAGACAGAGAGCGGCCTGACCTACAAGAGCAAGGAACGATATAGCGTGCTATGCACGGACAGCTGTTAATCTTGTCTACAGAAACATTTGCAGGTGTAATGAAAGTATGACCCGGTAAATGAAAAGTCCACATATAATAGAATTTGAAGACTCGTATTCTCTGTGCGTCAGTTACCAGCGTCTCTATTGATCTCGATGGAAACGGCAGATGTGAAGGAAAAGAAATCGTGATTACTTCTACCAAATAAGGGGAAACCGGTTGGGAGTACGTGTTACTCTAACTAACTGTCAGTCATCACAGTAATTTTTCATAATTTCCTGTTCACCTGTTCAAACTTGTTCAAACCATTGGTTTTGTCTCACGTCATCAGGTCACTGAGAAGAGGGTGTTTTAGGGTGAGGGGCGGGCGAAAAGACAACTAATCTTCATCTACCCCAGCTTACGTTGCTCCTTTTGTAGGACAAAACTAACCACTTTCACGGCAATCGTCACCGGTGTATTGCTGATAAACCGTCCATAAGTAACGGATGGGTATAAATTCGATGAAATACGTACCCGCGCAAACATGTGTGTTTCTTGGTTTCAAAATGGTCCAATGCAATTGATACGCTTATCTTTCAGCGTTGAGCTGAACCTGCGACTAAGTCAAACCTGTGCTTACTGCCTCCCCACAAGAGTTAATTTACTTCCCCTATCGCTGTAACGCACCTTGAAAGGAACTCATCTTTTATTTCGACATCAGCAGCTGTCATGTTCTTGTATAATAGAAGGAGAAGCAGGAGATGGGTGAGGTGTTGGCAGTGAAAAACGACATTTTTTCCATCCTGCTGCGAACAAAAGCGAAGAACATTTGAGAGGTTCACGAAAGCAGTGAAACCTCATACATTAGAGTCTAATTTAATAGGTTTTCCCGTACGCCAACGTTTTATATGTAAAGGGAGTTAGCTCATACAAAAATTTTCGTCATTCAGGAGTGCGCATTTTTTCTGACATAATTCCTTTTACATATCCTACAATAGATCCTATGTAATAAACTTAACTAGGGACATCCGCAGTTGTTGCGGAGCTCTCAGCTACGAAACAGGACATAGAACGCGAGATACTTATTGAGGCGGCGCTGCGGGTGGTCCGATTCCAAATCGGTCCAGACATCGATATGTTCATGTCATAGAGTGTATAAAATGGTGACTTTATCACTCTTCAGCTTTTCCTCTATAAAATTCCCATGTAGTAAAATCAGGTGGATCTAGACCTGGGCTACAGAAAGACCAATACTCTTTGTTGACGCCACCCGGGACACTGCAACCGATGTAAGCTATATTCCCTCATGGGCGCGATTCCAGTAGGAACTGGAAGACATGCTAGGAGTTGTTTTGTTTGCAGTTGGACTCGACATCGTCGAAGCCACTACTTAACAACTGTTGTCCATTTTGATTCGACATTGATAAGAGGCTCATAACCTGCAGTGGATATTCCTTTGAAAGCAGTGGAACCTTTCTAAAAGGGATCATCCTTGTGTATTTTCCTTTCTTATGATTCTCGTGAGTCTGGCTAACTTCTTCAGGCAAGTAACCGCTAGTACTGCGGAAGAAACAGAATATAAAGGAGCT